AAACCGTCGCCGATATGCTTCTGGCGTGATTGCATATCGGGCCAGGATCACTTCTTTTACTCGGCGGTAATTCCGAATTTCCTCATCAGGTACAGTTCTATAGGCTTCCGCCGCCTTCCCTGTGAGCTTCCCTGCTAAAATAGGCACCCACTCATCTGGGCTAATATTATGCAAGGCACACAGTCTTTCAAAGTCTTGGAGAAAAGCATCTATATCTTCCTCTGCTTCTATATACGTTTTAAAGGCTTGGTAAGGAATTTTTGTCTTACCCTGTGTGATGTTAGTTGTGGTGGCATTCCTCTCCAGCTGCTGTAGTGGCCTTTGGCGCAGTATAAACTCCTGTACCTCTGACATTGTCCTGGATATAATATCTGTTGTTGGATTTTCTCCATAAAAGGACAGCCTGAACTGCACCTCTCTCCGGAACTCTTCTTTTTCATCTGCTGCACTCTGTTGCTCAGGGATTACCCTGTCCTCCTGCTGGTATTCAGCCATCACTTCTGCAATGAGGATTGCTTTCTTTTTGTTGCTGGCTGCAATGCCTTTCGCTTCCAGGAGATCTTTTGGCGTGGATCTTTTAAGCTTGGCATAATCACTCTCCATCCGTATTCCATTAGTCCTTGTTCCCTTGTGAGTCTGGATCCCAGCGCTGCCAACCAATGTAGCGGAGATGCAATATTCCCCAGGTTGTCTCCGCTTATAATCCAAGTGAGGCTCAGGAACAAGTAAATAATAAATCCATAGGCAAAGTTTCCAGCAGGTAAAATAACAGCAACCCCCCCACAGCAATCCCAATAACTGGACGACACACAGTTTCAGGAGCAGAACTGACAAGCCTTTAATCACAGTCTCCTTATAAAGCATGCTCCCATGCAAGGGAGGGATTACAGTAATTATTACAGTAGCCAATCCTGTCCTGGTAACCTCCCACACATCTCCTCCCCTCAGCCAGCATCATAATCCCCTTATTCAGTACACCAATTCCCCCCGTTTCTGGATGTACCCCTAAACGTAGGGGTACCTCTTTAAATCCTACATCCCCTGGTAGCCCTGATCTGGGTGAACAACATATCCAAAAACCACCCAGATCAGACCAGGGGTTCGGGAAAAGTATGGAGGGAATAAAATGACCGTCCGCACGAACTGAGATAGCCGAATTCGGTTCCATGTGAATGGGCCCTGCGGTCGGTCCTGGCATAAGGGAATAAAATACACGAAAACCTCTAGCTATAGAGGCTAGGGAGGGTTCGCCTGAATCCCCTCGTTCGGTATTCTCTATCTACCGAACGAGGGGCCGCTCGGTAGTTTGGAACCGAACGGACCAGGGCTGTGGAGGTCTCAGCGGTGTTCGCCTACTCGAGTGTCCGATTTTAGTTCCAGACACTCGACGGCTAAACACCGCTGTTCGGGAGTTTTAAAATGGCCGCCACGTGTTCGTTTGTCGAATGGCGGCCACCCCCGAGAACAAAGGACGGTTACTTACTGTTCAATTACCTGTTCGCAACAATGTTGCAACGGGTAATTGAGGACACACTTCACACAGGGGAGGTCTGGTTGTTCAGTAGTTTCATTCGAATAAACTAAGGGAACGAAACTACCGAACAATCACAAGAATACAAGGCTTTAGAACACATAGGAAACTAACAGATCACACGAATGCATTTCTTTCACAGACATTTGCAGGACAGCCCAGTGCCATCTGCTACAGTATACATTGTATAATATCATGGATATAAGATGTATAGTATACATTGTATAATATTATGGATATGAGATACATAGTATACATTGTATAATATTATGAATATGAGATATAGTATACATTGTATAATATTATGGATATGCGATACATAGTATACATTGTATAATATTATGGATATGAGATACATGGTATACATTGTATAATATTATGGATATAAGATGTATAGTATACATTGTATAATATTATGGATATGAGATACATAATATACATTGTATAATATTATGGATATGAGATGTATAGTATACATTGTATAATATTATGGATATGAGATATATAGTATACATTGCATAATATTATGGATATAAGATGTATAGTATACATTGTATAATATTATGGATATAAGATGTATAGTATACATTGTATAATATTATGGATATGAGATACATAGTATACATTGTATAATATTATGGATATGAGATATATAGTATACATTGTATAATATTGTGAATATGAGATAAGAAGTATACATTGTATACACATTATGGATATGAGATATATAGTATACATTGTATAATAATATTATGGATATAAGATGTATAGTATTGATTGTATAATATTATGGATATGAGATACATAGCATACTACTGTATATCATTATGGATATGAGATATATAGTACAATACTTGTATAATATTATGAATATGAGGAGCCATTATTAGCATACATTGTATAATACATGGATATGATACATAGTATACATTGTATAACACATGGATATGAGATACATGAAGTATACATTGTATAACATTATGGATATGAGTATACACAGTATTGTATAATATTATGGATATGAGATACATAGTATACATTGTATAATATTATGGATATGAGATATATAGTATACATTGTATAATATTATGGATATGAGATACATAGTATACATTGTATAATATTATGGATATGAGATACATAGTATACATTGTATAATATTATGGATATAAGATGTATAGTATACATTGTATAATATTATGGATATGAGATATATAGTATACATTGTATAATATTATGGATATGAGATACATAGTATACATTGTATAATATTATGGATATGAGATACATAGTATACATTGTATAATATTATGGATATAAGATGTATAGTATACATTGTATAATATTATGGATATGAGATATATAGTATACATTGTATAATATTATGGATATGAGATACATAGTATACATTGTATAATATAATGGATATGAGATGCATAGTATACATTGTATAATATAATGGATATGAGATGCATAGTATACATTGTATAATATAATGGATATGAGATACATAATATACATTGTATAATATTATGGATATGAGATACATAGTATACATTGTATAATATTATGGATATGAGATACATATTATACATTGTATAATATAATGGATATGAGATGCATAGTATACATTGTATAATATTATGGATATGAGATACATATTATACATTGTATAATATTATGGATATGAGATGCATAGTATACATTGTATAATATTATGGATATGAGATACATAGTATACATTGTATAATGCACATTGTATAATATTATGGATATGAGATACATAGTATACATTGTATAATATTATGGATATGAGATATATAGTATACATTGTATAATATTATGGATATGAGATACATAGTATACATTGTATAATATTATGGATATGAGATACATAGTATACATTGTATAATATTATGGATATGAGATGTATAGTATACATTGTATCATGTTCCAGGTACTATGTCAGTATTGCTCTGAAATTCATTTCCTGGTGAATCAGCTGACCAGGAGTCACGTGACCCAGCCCTGATTCACCAGGAAGCACCATGTCTGCTGTGTATGGAGGGGTGGAAGGGTGAGAATGGTTTGTGTATTATCATATAGTGTACAGCCCCCAGCACTCTGTGTGCACACTGTCAGTACAGCCCCCCCCAGCACTCTGTGTGCACACTGTCAGTACAGCCCCCCCCCAGCAGTCTGTGTGCACACTGTCAGTACAGCCCCCAGCAGCAGTCTGTATGCACACAGTCAGTACAGCTCCAGCAGTTTGTGTGCACACTGTCAGTACAGCCCCCCCCCAGCAGCAGTCTGTGTGCACACTGTCAGTACAGTCCTAGCAGTCTGTGTGCACACTGTCAGTACAGTCCCAGCAGCAGTCTGTGTGCACACTGTCAGTACAGCCCCCCAGCAGCAGTCTGTGTGCACACTGTCAGTACAGTCCTAGCAGTCTGTGTGCACACTGTCAGTACAGCCCCCAGCAGCAGTCTGTGTGCACACTGTCAGTACAGCCCCCACAGCAGCAGTCTGTGTGCACACAGTCAGTACAGCTCCAGCAGTTTGTGTGCACACTGTCAGTACAGCCCCCCCAGCAGCAGTCTGTGTGCACACTGTCAGTACAGTCCTAGCAGTCTGTGTGCACACTGTCAGTACAGTCCTAGCAGTCTGTGTGCACACTGTCAGTACAGCCCCCCAGCAGCTGTCTGTGTGCACACTGTCAGTACAGCCCCCCCCCAGCAGTCTGTGTGCACACTGTCAGTACAGCCCCCCAGCAGTCTGTATGCACACTGTCAGTACAGCCCCCCAGCAGCGTCTGTGTGCACACTGTCAGTACAGTCCTAGCAGTCTGTGTGCACACTGTCAGTACAGTCCCATCAGCAGTCTGTGTGCACACTGTCAGTACAGCCCCCCCCCAGCAGTCTGTGTGCACACTGTCAGTACAGCCCCCCCAGCAGTATGTGTGCAC